CAGCAAGGTTGCCGGTCCAACTCCCGCATGGAAAATAAATAAATAAAATAAAACAAAACAGGTGAAATTAATTTTAAGAATATATTTTCTTAACCCAACACATTCAAAATATTATCAATCAATGTAAAATACATTAATGAGGCATTTTACATTTTTTTGTACTAACTCTTTAAGTTCTGGTGTATTTCACACATACAGTACATCGCAATTTTGACTAGCCTCATTTCAAGGGCTCAGTTGCAGCGCGTGGCTATGGGCTATGGGCAGTGCAGGTTTAGGGCACTTCCCAGAATGGCTACGTAACTCTGACTGGGTCGCCAAGACTTACACAGAACACGTCTAAACTCTAAGACTCTGCCTTCTGGCATGAGGGGTCCTGAAACCCTGGCAACAAGAAACTGGGCAGGGTCAATACAGGACTCGTGCCTAGCCAAGTTGGCTTTCCCCAATGTTTTTTGCTTGATTTTTTTATTTTTTAAAGCAAATCAGAAGTAAGCATAGCAGCAGCCAGGCCTTCCAAGGAAAGTGAGAGGCTTGGGCATGATAGCATCCAGGCTTCAAACCACACACTGAAGAAGACGGGACGTCAGCAGGCGACAGAGAAACAAGGGCAAGCAGAGATAAGCAACAGAAAGAGAGATCTCTCTCTGGATGTTCCAGTCCCTGGTCCCTGCCTCTCTGGCCTCCAGGCTTGTACCTTTGTCCTGTACAGTAACATGGGAACCTTAGGATCTGTTCGGTAAATTTCCTTTCTATTGAAGCCAGCTCAAGCCCTTTGGAACCAAGAAGGTCCTGACTAACAGCCGTGGGCCTTACAAATGGCCAAAACGAAGTGGCCTGCCTGCATCAGAGCACTCCAGGAGCTATCCTTTCCTGAGCTGGGCTTGAACAGCATGAGGAAGATTTACCCGCATCCCATCTGGGCTCCTGTTCCACCTTATTCTTTCACTGCTCCTTCTTCAGATCGGGCCAGTATTTGAAGTAGGGTATTTCGTCTTACTTTGGTGGATTTGTTTCAATTTTCCTGTTTTTGACCAGTTAAAATGTTATCTATCCACCTCATATGTATCCATTTACTACAAAGCAAATATAGTAAGATGTTCACAGTATAATTCAACTTCCCTGCATGCTTGCAGATTTTCATAGTAAGATACTGGGGAAATAATCTACTTGCTTTTCTGTCCATCATCATTTCCTCTTTCTCTTCTGTTTTCTGGATTTTCAATCTTCTTTCTCTACCCACAACTGCAGGTGGACAGGAGAGAATGGTCAAAGCAGAGGGACATGACAAGAGCTAGAATGGTGCAGGCATGATGCAGCTCCTTCTGCCACTCCTTCCCTCAAACTCTGTCAGTCTCTTTTATAGACTTAGGCTTGAAGATCCCAAGACTCAGAAATGGGAGCAGAACGTCTCTAACATGAGTGTCTGCTCTTTCCCTGACATTTTCCCTGTGGAAAAAGTTTCCAAAATGCTTACCTATCAATGACAGAAGTGACCAACCATTTCATTGTCCTCAGGGAACACTTCTGAGCTTCAAACTTTTTGTTTTGTTTTGTTTAAAAAAAACACAACACTGCTTTAAGAAATATTGTAATATATTCCAGAAGCTCTACTGGTCTGTTACTGGAGAAATGTATGTATTCATTTAAAATTTAAAGATGTCTCCCAAATGTGCTATAGGTCAGAGACAATCAAAACAAAAATCATGGAAATTACCAGGATAGTATAATAATCAACAACTTTATGTGCAGGACACTTTATCCACATTTACTGTTATCTCAGAGCTCAGGACAGCTACATAACTTGCCTGGGGTTTCACAGCTAGAAGGAGCAGAGCCAGGGTCCCCACTCAGCCAGGTCTGACCCACTCCAAGTACAAGCTCTTCCTGTTCCAACAGCGTCCCACCACCATGCCTGGAAGAACTGGTGGACTCGGGCATGCAATAAACCCCAAGTGCCTGCCATGTAGCAGGTGCTTTTCTAAGCATGAGGGACAGAGTTGTACAACAAACAGAAAAGTCCTCATGGGGCTTACATTCTAGCCATGGGGAGACAGACACTGACCTAGTAGTTGTGTGTGTGATAATAGTAAGAGCCTAGAAGGAAAATCAGGCAGGGTAAGGAACGTGTACAGAGGCCACGGTACTTTACTTAGAGTGGTCAGGAGTGACGTCTGATAAGGTAACATGTTAGCATACACTTAAAGGAGAAGTGGCAGATGTGTGGGTGGGAGGAATGCTCCAGGCAGAGGGAGCAGCAGAAATGCTGCTGCAGGAGTGGGCCTGGCTCATGGAGGGAAAGCGCCCCCGAGCACCACCATGTGGCCAGTGCTCAGGGAGCCAGGGAGAGGGGAGAGCACATCCCAAACAATGTCTGAGTGGGACTGGAGCTGAATCTCCAGGGCATCACTGGCCATTCAAGGACTTTGCTTTCCACTCTGAGTGAATGAGGAGAACCTCCAGAGGGATTTAAGCAGAGAAGTGACATGATACATGTTAAAAGGACCACTCTGACTTCTGTTGAGAATGGAATATAGAGTGCAAAGACTAAAGCAGGGGGATCATTTGGGAAGCTCGTGCAAGGAAGGTGGTGGCATGATCCAGGTGGTTCCAGGGAAGGCAGTGGCAGTTGCTTGCAGCTGACATTTAATTTTAAGGTAGAAGTGATTGCATCTTGCTAATAGACTGTAGGATATGAGAAAAGGAGTGTTCAAGGATGATGCCATGGGCACTGGCCTGAGTGACCAAAAGGATGGAATTGCTATTGACTCAAATGGGAAGATTCAGGAGGAGCAGGGTTGGGGATGGGGGCGGGGGGGTGGAATGAGACATCGATGGGAAGGAATCAAGATTCGTTTTGGCCATGTTACATTAGAGGTACCTTTTAGGCATCCAAGAGGTAATGTCATAAAGGCAGTTGGAGGGGTCCTGGTTAGAGATACAAATTTGGTTATCAGGCACATATGGTATTCATGAGAATGGATGCTATCACCTAGGACAACTGTTCTCAGTAGGGACTGTGCTGTCCCTCAGGGAGTATGCTTGAAATTTGTGGGGACATTTTTAGTTGTCACCATGATTGGAGGTGCTACCAATAATAGGTGGGAGGACAAGGAACCTAGATGTCCTATGATGAATGTGTCAATCCTGCATAAAGAATTATCCCACATCCCACACAATTTTCACATATTCTACAGACAAGCACATAGGTGGAACACTTTATTATTATCCGAGCCTAGAATGTCCCTTCATTTTACATACAAAAACAATGTACTTTTTTTTTATTAAATTTATTGGGGTGACATTGGTTAGTAAAATTATATAGGTTTCAAGTGTACAGTTCTATAATACATCATCTATCTATTGCATTTTGTGTTCACCACCCAGAGTCATTTCTCCTTCTGTCACCATACATTTGACCCTCTTTACCCTTTCTTACCAATGCCCCTTACCCTCTGGTAACCACTAAACTGTTGCCTGTGTCTATGAATTTTAAAAACAATACACTTCTCACACAGCTTGAAGATATGAAGGTCTGACAATTAAGTTCGAGAACTTGTCGCAACAATGTTGCTAGCCTTTTTTTGATATCAGAGGGATTATTCATTATGAATTAGTACCAACTGGACAAACAGTTAACCAAGTTTACTATTTGGGAGTGCTGAAAAAGCTGCGTGGAGAAGTTAGACGACTTGAACTTTTCACCAACAATTCATGGCTCTTGCATCATGACAATGCACCAGCCCACACAGCACTGTCCGTGAGGGAGTTTTTAGTCAGTAAACAAATAACTGTAATGGAACACCCTCCCTACTCACCTGATCTGACCCCCAATGACTTCTTTCTTTATCCGAAGATAAAGGAAATATTGAAAGGAAGACATTTTGATGACATTCAGGACATCAAGGGTAATATGACAACAGTTCTGATGGCCATTCCAGAAAAAGAGTTCCAAAATTGCTTTAAAGGGTGGACTAGGCGCTGACATTGGTGCATAGCTTCCCAAGGGGAGTGAGTACTTTGAAGGTAACCATAGTGATATTCAGCAATGAGGTATGTAGCACTTTTTCTAGGATGAGTTTGTGAACTTAATTGTCTGATCTCATACACTGAACTGTCTAAGGATAACTAGGGAAGACTGCAGTTTGATTCAGAACTTTACCAAGAGTGTTCAACAATCACATCATTCTCTCAATGTCCTTCACAGTATTTGAGTCATCAACACAACAACCCTGAATCACTGCATCGTAGCTGTCTCATGCACGGGGCACTAAGGAGCATCTTAGGTCCTCTGGCATAGTAATATGGAGGCATATGCAAATGGAAATATGGATTATTTAACTATAAGTTATTTTCCTTTTATAGCTGGGATATTATAAAAATTTTTCAAAAGTGTGTGTTTAGGTAGGTTATACTATCTCTGATTTCATGTTGGTGTAGTAAAGGGGGTGTCGGGTGTCACACAGTAGCTAGAAAAAAGCCAGGGCCCCGGGACTGTGCCGTGCCCACGCGATGTTAGGAACCCAGAGCATAAGTAGTGGCCGCAGGGAGATTCCAAGGTGCTGCCTGGGAGGGAGGAGGCAACTGAGAAGGCATTCCCAGACACAGAGCCTAATCAACAGTGTGAACTCTGCCAACTGTCAGGTAAGATGAGATGGAGGATGGACTTCTGGACTACTAGGATCACTGGAGATCCTGACCCTCATCTAGTGGGGTGCTGGGGTCAAAACTCTGACTGGAGAGTCCACGTCACCCAGGGTAGGAGATCAGAATTACTGTTAAACATTTGGCAGATTTCCTTTCTGGACACCGGTGCCCCTGCTACACACTCTTTGCTCTGTTCCTTTAGGTTAAGATATGCTGATTCCCCCCGGGGACCCTCCTTGGAGCCTCTGTTCCAGCCCCGGGAGGCCACTAGCTTTGTTTACTGCCCTCTTCAGTCCTCCCAAGCAGGGACACTGGACACCCAGCTGCCTTGCCCCGTGTGGTTCTGTCTATACCTTGCTGAGTCGGGACTCAAAAGCCAGCGAGGTTGAAGATTTAGAGCTCTTCATGCCAGAAGAGGCTGTGGGAAGGGCCCGTGCCCGGTCGATCCCATGGTTCCCTGCTTTGGTGACTGGGCTCCAGGGCTTGGCTGCGCTCCTCATGTTTGTTAAGTGGGTCTGTTTTTCTGTAGATGAGAAGAAGAGAAAAACATGTGTGTCCATAACTGGAGCCTGCTGAGTGACATACATCACAGGGCTTTACCCATATATACCATGTTCAGCACTGTTAGAGATAACCAGCACCTATGATTGGCCTGCAAATACAGTTCTCTTCCTAAGATGATAACTTTGCACTAGGCTAATTTTTACAACTTCACAACAGCTGTTACAAAACTGAAAACATATGTGCAATATTATCGACGTTCTAACATTTACTATTCAGCAAATGATGGCTTCTTCTTAGTCAGGGACACTTAACACAGTATTACTATATACCCATACACTATAGATAGATAGATAGATAGATAGATAGATAGATAGATAGATAGATAGATAGATAGATAGAGAGAGAGAGAGATAGATAGATAGATAGATAGATAGATAGAGAGAGAGAGAGAGAGATAGATAGATAGATAGATAATTTCCCTATATAAAACAGGTCAGCTTGAGTCAAGACATACTCTGTCCATAAGTCTTGCAACTTTAGGCCTGACAATGGAACAATCTACCTAATTTTTAAATAGACATAAATGAATTACTTGAAAATTAGATTTCATAGAAGCACAACTTTTTTTCTTCTTTTAGACAAAAATGTGTATCACTTAAAAATTAATAGTGCATATTTTAACTGGTCAGACCTGGGACAGAGTTACTGCCCTAACTAAAATATTTCATGGAAGCAAAATTGTTCAAAGCAGCAGGATGCAGTTAAGACCTATTGGGAAAATCTACATACAGAGACATGGGAGGCAGCTTGACTCCTGAGATCAGCAATCAGTGTCGTTCCTGAGTGAGGTCCGCAGCCATCTCTCCACCTCTCTGAGCCTGTTTCCTCCCAAACTAGCACAATGGGAGTGGATTAAATGCCCTCTAGTGTCTCATCCAGCTCCAATCCTAACTCTGCCTCTGTCCCCATGGACTCTCATGACCAGGAGAGTGACAGGTTACCGAAACCACAGATAATGCTCCATCCCTTCAAAGAAACAAATTGAAAAGTGCACTTTAAAAAACACCAACAGGTGACAGATAATTCCAGTGCCCACACTCACAGGGCCCAGGGATCTAATTAACTGCCCCTGAGGGATGGTGGCTGGTGTTAAGCATCCCAGTACTCCCCTTAGTCGCCTATGAGAAAAACTAAACAGTGCCTCCCAGCCCAGCTGCCCACCTCCTCCTGCTCTTGTCTCCTTTTCCTGGCCCGAGGAGACCATTTTAACTGCCGAGTCTCTCAGCCAGGGCCACCCAGTTCCTATTCCTACTTAAAGTGATTAGTGGGTGGCATGTGTCCACGAACCAACCTGGAACCACCCTGCAGCACTGCTCTCCTAGCAGCAGTGTGAATGTGGCTGCAGGTGAAAATCATTTTTTAAAGACTCTGCAGTTAGTTTTCTATAGTGTTTCTGAGAAAAATTATTCATGATTTCAGTTATATGATTAGTTCAGAACCCTATTAGTCTCAGCTTGGTTCCAGGTAAAAAATATATGATTATTTTTTTTAATTCTGTATTTTTTTGAAAAAAAACTTACTACTTATGTATTTTCCTGATGTTTATCACCAATTATTTTTCTTTCTTAACCCACAATTTTTAATGCTGGTTTCTATAGCAACAATGAAAGAATTCCTAGGCTAAAACCTATATAGTAACTGATTTCATTAGGATTCCCAATATAAAATAAACTAACATATCCTGAGTGATTTTTGAAGAGAATTACTGAAGAATTTTACCAATTACTACAAAACCAACCAGTAATATGTCTGACTCAAGGAAAGGACTTAAATATAAATATCTGGTTAATCAAGGCACCATTTTACAACTACTTAGAAATAACTATTACAGGGCTTACTTCATGAAAACATAAGGTGATTCTGTAATGCATCTACATTTTCCAAAATCTGGCACGTTACCCCTGAAATTAAATGCCTTTTATTTATTCTCTGAAAGAAAGATAAGAATACGAACATGAAAAGCAGCAGGAAGAGGATGGAAATTTTCCTTGCCATCTTTTCCCCAATGTTTCAGAAGTCTAAG